TTGTATACTGCCCAGAAACTTTCTATTTAATTCTTGCTGGGAATACAAGGTCGTTGCACAACGGATTTATGAGTCCACAATTCATCAAGTTTTGTTTTGCATTTACTGGTAAAGTTTTTGAAATTGCCTTATATAGTCTATAAATAATTAAATATACAATGCTAGATAGATAACATTTGCTTCTATCATAGAGCCTCCTGTTTGAATTTGGCCATCTTTGACAGGTTTTCCACTGCTTCAACTAAGTGATTGAGTCGAGCCACAAACTCCACAAGCAGTGATGTAAACGTGGCAAGTGATAATGCAGCAGTGCTCAGCGCCTGCATCCTGGGAATGGAATCTGAGCTAAGACCTCCCTTGTTTTCGAAAGCATCAACTTCCCTCAATGGCCAAGAATAGAGCCTACTTCTCGATTGCTTGTGGTAAGATTCTCTCTGCAATTCTATTGTTGCATAGTTTGGTTGGGATGGTGGATTATAGTTTTGCTCAATACATTTGTTATCAGGCTTGACCAGTTGGTTTGAGAGGTCGGAAAATGTGGATGAGATGGCGTGGGAGAGCTTCGATGAATTACCGCATGGCTCATTGGCAGATGTAAGGAGGTACGAGTGTATTGTTATTGCCCTTTGGAGTCTTTCTGTTGAGCTATGAACCCTTTTCAGGAGGGAAGTTTTGAGGTTTCTCTTCATATTACATATATCTTTGCCCAGTTCTCTGATTAACTCAGTAGCATCACTTGTGGCCTCTTGGATCTCTTTCTGAAACGTGATTCTGAGATTATGTGGGGCCTAAAAGACAATGGACATTAGGTACATGTCAGTTCACTTAAAAGTTCAATTTATATGAAAAATAGAGTATTATTCATATATATTTCATTTTTAATGCGTCTAGATCCTCACACGCGTATCTATTTATAACCAAATACTAGTATACCATGTTAGCTTTTCTCTAGAGAAGAGGAAGAATTTTATCTTTTATATCGTGCCCATGTAGGCTAAATTTATTTTTAATTAAGAGCCCGTTTGATGCTTATTTTTCCAAAAAAATGCATTTTGAAATAGTAATTTGATGGAGAATGTGTGGTTTAAAATATGATTTTTTTTGGATTTACGTATAATTTTATTTTATTAAAGAATGTGTGGTTGAAAATAAGAGAAAGACTAATATATTTTAAAAATAATGGGGACCAAATGACTTAAAGTTAAGCCTCGAAATAGTGGCAAATGAGCTTAAAGCTCACTACATTTGGCTAAAGGTAGACATGATATATTGAAGAAGCAAGTAAAGTTCGAAATCTCCTATATAAGTATACATTTTTCTCTCTTTGGGACAAGGTCTTTTTTCATATTCAGTTCTATANATTTACGTATAATTTTATTTTATTGAAATGTGTGGTTGAAAAGAAGAGAAATAAAAATATATATTTAAAAAAATTGGAATCAAACAAGGCCTAACGGTATGACCTGTGAATTTTTCTTAAATGGGTGAGTCGGAATCAAAAAATGCATTTTGTAATAGTGATTTGATGGAGAATGTGTGGTTAAAAATAATGAAAAGCTTTGGATTTAAGTGTGTTAAGGGATAAAATCTTACATCGAATAAAGATGAAAACATAGGATACTCCTCTTAACAAGATTTACCTTTTAAGATGGAATATCAAATCTTAACATGATATCAAAACTCGTTAAACTCTAACGAACAATTCGATCCGATTATAACTTAAAAAAAAATTGACCACACTAATTTCAAGATTGATCTGCTCAAAATGAGCCACCATCTTGAGGGGGCATGTTAAGGGATAAAATTTTACATCGAATAAAGATAAAAATATAGACAAATTTATAAGAGTTTGAGCTAATCCTCTTAACAAGGTTGACCTTTTAAGATGTAGCCCCACATTTTAACAAAGTGTAATTTTATTTCATTGAAAAATGTGTGGTTGAAAAGAAGAGAAAGAAAAACATATTTTGAAAAAAATGAGGATCAAACAAGGCCTAAAGATTTGACCCGTGGATTTTTCTTAAGTGGGTGAGTTGGAGAATATTTGAATACAAGGTCCCTTATTTGTGATATACTATGTTGGTTTCATCTTAAAGAATAATATATTAGAGATGAAGAATTTATTAATAATATACACGTACAAATTAGATTCACTTTTAAAATCAAAGACCGAAGATATAATTTTTTGTAAACGAGTGATACTGATAACAAAAGGCTCATATATGGTTTACTCATATTTAGAGGGTGTTTGGTGTAGATTAAAATCAGATTTTAAGTGGATTGTGATAAAAAATTTTGAAATGTGTGGTTGCAAAGATGTGATTGATATTGATTGTTTGATTTTGACTTAAATTAAAATCAAATTATAATCTGACCCAAACAGTTAGTGATAACAATTTTGATTGATCTTTAAGTATTTAAGATTTTAGACAAGTTGATAGATTCTCTTGGAATGGGGTGTCCAATAACAATTTAAATTCATAGATTTTCTAAAATTAACAGAGAAGAAAGAGACCTGAATTTCTGAGTGAAGTATACCATGTAGTGCCGTAACCTGGTATGCACAAT